ATAAAACAAATATAAGTAAAAAAAAATAGTTTCATTTCCTATGCTCGTTCTAACAACGCATGTAGATCGAGAACACACGTTGAAATCTTTTGTACGTATATTTTGCTTATTCCGCGTGATGACATCCATATTTTTACAGTTTATGGTAACACTTAGTACACAAACTAGTTTTGTAACATATTTGCTCGTAAAGTGGCTGAAATCACACCAATTTCTATATCGTAATGTATTTCATTACGCACTTGTGCGTTATTGTAATGTAAAACGCACGAGTTTATTTTTAATAAAGTAACATGCACGGTTTTTTAAGATGCTCCGTCTAAAAATGAACGATACTTTTAAAAATCTTTGCAAAGAGTTTTTATGTTAGAAAAGTTGTCAATATTTTATGAATAAAATTAACTTTGGGAGATAAAATATAATAAATAAACATTTATGTAATTCTTTCATTTAATTAATTTTGACAATAAATTACAACCATTTATCTGTAACAAAAACACAAAAATATTAATTTACTTTATTAGTAACACTGGCTATTTTTATACCTTTGCGGATTCGCTCTGGGCCTTTTGGAGGGAAAAGTGTCGTTTTTATTGTGACTTTCAATTATTTTGTGAAATCTAGTTTAAAGTGGAATAGGATAGTGCTATTGTGCCTTAATCGAAGATTAAAACGCGAAATTATACGAATCTCGAACTAAAATACCCGTACGGCCCGTTCTAAGGAATCCCGAGTCAATCCAAACACGCCGCCTCAAATTGCCTATGTTCTTTGTGGCGGTCATATTTACAGAAACATAATTAAACGAAGACATGGCTCAAAGGACTTGTATCCAAGCCAAAATTATTAATAAAAAAAACTATATATATTATTATGTCGAATTTTGTACAAATTCACTTAAAGAAATAATATAGAGTAGGTTAGATACATGCATACAAATATTACAAATGTGAAAATAAGCGTGTACTATAAGCAATATACCGATATTCCAACTAAACGTAAACTCAAATATCCGTAATTCCGAAAACCGATTTAGAATAAAACCATTTGATGCTTTTAACTATCAATTTTAAATTCCTAAAAAATTGGAGCTAACGTTATTTCGGGCAAATGTATTCTCTGACTTCTAATAGGTAATCCTAAGCCGTAAAACGATTACAACAATATTTTGTTAATTATTGCTAACGTTCAATAAAAAAATCATTTTAAAAATAAGATTAAAATCAAAGCGACTCTATAGTCTCTAATTAATTCAATCGCTTGTACTTCGAACAATTGAAAATGACCAAGAAGTTTATGTAAGCTCCTTGAAATTGATATAAAGGGTCTCTTTCGATGGAAAAGATGTTTTGCGCATGCAATGTGTAGAAAAAGGACAGTTAGCTATTTGATTTTTTTTTTGCTTTTGTAATTTATATTTTCGATTCATTTATATATAAATTAAATACTATACAACTGCACAAAATACCCTTTTAAGTGATAAGTAAGACGACACAATATATTTGTTTAGTGAAAATATGATACAAAATCCTGTTTTTACACTTTACTGCAGTAATTTTTACAAGTATATATAGTATAGTAGATAGTCCTTTCAAATAATTTTCAATCAAGTAATTTTCAATCGAAGCTAAATATGGTGCATTTTGTTAAGTTTCCAGTAGAAGCTGAATATGGTGTTTTTGGGCCCTTAAATTGTTGCTAGCGAGATTAGGCAGTACTGCAATAATAATAATATAATAATAACGCACACACTCAACATAGCCCCGCACTAGGGAAACCCTGTGTCGCGGGTGCCATGGACACACACATAGACAACCACAAATTACACCCAAACTCACGAGAGAAATAAATGTAGGCCATACAAATATTTCTCCCGGCCCGGGAATCGAACCCGGGGACCTCTGCGTGGCAGTCCGGTATGGTAACCGTTCGGCCACGGAAGCAGTTAAGTGCAATGACGTTACATTTGAAATTAAATGTGTTAGTTTTTTTATATTTCGTTACATGTCACTACGTTTGTATCGGTTAACTTCGAACATTTTTTTCGTGGTTTTAGTATTAAGCCCGATGTCCAAATTACCTTAATTAATTATTTTTGAGCATACAATATTTAGTATGTGTAGGTAGGTACTGTTCTATATGACCGATCTAGTTCTCTCAAAACACCCCAATAAGTACAGGATGGAAGATATGGATTAGGCTATGGGAACTTTTAGACTCGAAAATAATCTTAAAATTATTTGTCTACAATGTGAAAATAGTGACCGTGTTCATATGCCGCCTGTCTATCTGATATAGTTTAAACAATACGTCATTATGAGGCAACATCCGAACGTTGTGCAAACCGCGTCGCCTCTCAAATAAGCTGTGAACTTTAAAAAATCTTATAATGATAATAACGTGCCAACCCGATTACTTCCTCACGAATGAAACGTTTAAGACTATATACTAAACATTTCTATACTATGCATAGGTTTTTTGAACGAAAACACTTTACACGAACATTTCTATTTGAAGCAGTAGTAGTATAGATGTTACGAAATTCAATATATATATTTGTTAATTGTACAACGTTCTTACGGAAATTCTTATCCGTTTAGGTAATTTGAATGCCTCACTGCTCCGAATTACTTACTCACGAAAATAATTATAACTAAGGCAGGCGGTTTGTGAAAGTTAGGGGTCAAACGAGAACAAATTCTCCATTAGGCAGTTTTTATATGGTAACTCTTGTTGCAGAGACACTACGAACTTTACATCGCCTGGTTTGTATGGAGTGGTTTCCATCATCACACTCAGTCAGCGATAGCCGCGTCAATACGATAGCCGTGTGTGTGATAAGCTGTGACTCTATGCAAACCAAGCGATGCTTAAAGCGGTAGCGTGCTGCTGAGAGTAGCCTCACAGCACAAGAACTGTCTAAGTTGTAATACTAAGTAAATATATACTCAAACACAGTATGATAATCACTCGCGAAAACTACATTACGAGTTTCCGTGAATTAGAGTAAGAAAGTCGGTAACCTACGAGGCTAGGAAGTGACAATTTACCACCGAGACAGGCGGAAGACTTGCGGTGTATAGTTAGCAGCTCGGTTGCAGCCCGGTAGTGGCGATGACTATCTTCGCAGGGATGTTATTTTCTCGTTACATAACCTACACTACCTTATGTAATCGCCTGAGCTTTAAAACGATTTGTTAACTACTGCAACGCTCTAGAATGTTCGATTACTATTTATATTATTATTTTAGGTCTTAGTGTAAGACGAATTTCCCAAATTTAATCGCGTCAGAAATTAATACTATTCTTTGATTTCAACGATATTTTTAAACCAGTTGCGTGTCGTGGTATCCGTGCATAATCTAAAGAAAACTATCTCACATAAGAATTCCTAATAAACAAATTTCTCTATGAATCTACAAAAAGTAAAGAAGGTCATGGTTTTAGTAACCATGGCAAAAACTAATAATATATCTTTTCTACGTTAGAACACAATAGCATCATGTTAGGTTTGATATGAATTCTTTTTCAACAGCTTATTTAATACTCTAATGGTATGAAGCTTCTGAAACTAAACGACGAAAGTTCTGAGAAAAAGATTTGAATATACCTACTGGAACCTATGTTATCTTTACCGAAATCAGAAAATAAAGTAGACTAAAGTGTAAGGCGTGTTCGTATAGATACATTTTTATAATACTAACGGTGATTTCCTAGTGCAGTGAAAGTGCATTGGTTGAATAATCGCAGAGATTGAGAGCAACTGCGCCGGCGTTGGTGTGACGTTGTTTGCTTTTGACCTCAAGAATGAAGGAAGAGACTGTCAAATGCACAGGGGACATTATTGTCTTTAAACGTTCTTTGGGAATATCAAACGGACGATGAACTTTTCTTCTTGTTTATTTATCTTTAAGCGCTAGTGATATGCAAAATACCTCTAAAAGAGACTATGTTCATACAGATTTATTTGTATATAGGTTTACTAGTAAAATACTAACAACCTATCAGGACTACTAGATTACTGACATCATAAACAAGAACTATTCTTCGATGACTTTTAAGAAAACATAATATAATAAATTTATCAAAAATAAACTTTTAAGTTCATGTTTTTTAGTTGTGTATTTAGTAAGTTTAAACGTCTCCCACCCGCAGTCCAGCGATATGCACAGAGTTATCAAAGTTTAAATATTTTTATTTTTGTGCGAAAGTAAATTCTAATTAATTGACTGATGAAACTTTTAATAAAATTCATGCTACGAAAGTTGTTGTTTATGTTTATGTTAGTCGTACCGTTTGTTAGTATTTTACAAATAACTCTGTATATCTACATAGTTATAAGATAAAAAAAAGACGTTATATTTTGGGATATGAAAATTTGAATTAGATTTGATGAAGGACCACGGACTGGTTCTAATTAAAATATTCAACAACTTAAGCCAGGACATAATTAATTAGGAATTAATTGTGTATCATCGCTGATATGTTAGTAAATAAATAAAATATGATTAAAATTAAATTATTGGCTAAAGTGGTTAAATTTAAGCACACTTTTTTAATTTTCATTTGCGTTAACACTACTAAAAGTTACGTTATTCTTCGTATTTATAGATCATATTTTTGTTTTTATTTAGAATCGATCGCGGATTTATTCGAACTAACCAGCACGTCGATTAATTTACAACCAGACTGATTGTTAACTTTATGTTAGTGCTGTTGGTACGCTACGTAAATATTTCTTTGTACTCACCATTGTTTTGTCATGGCTCTTAAGTCATTTATCTTGATTCAAAACAATGGTGAATACAACAATATTATGTATAAAACAATGTGATAATGAAATTGTTCACAACGTCTGTTTTAAAATACGAAACTTTCTTTGCAGAAAATCCACACTCAGAGATCAAACAACGGATTAATGCAATGAAAATTATTAAAAAAAAAAATAAAAAAAACACGGATCTATGAAAGAATCGTGATGTAGTTGAGTAAGAAGTGCCTATAATTGTAGTGGACCAAAAACTGGAACAAAAAAAATGCGCGTGCGATGGTGGCAAGTAGTGGCGTTGTGCGCTTGCGCTATGGTGCTGCGCAGCAACGCGTTGCCGCCTGCTACGTTGGGTGACGTTGTGGCCAATGCTGCCTCCAGTCTTAACTCTATGAAGGTGAGCATACTTCTTGCTATATATACAAACCGGGCTTGTTGCTGATGCAGGTTTTTACATCTCAACGGATGGGGATGTGGATGCTGATTTCTTGATCTTAACATCATCTTAACATTATTATTGAGTTTAAAAAAAAACCGCGAAAAATATACATAGGTACTCGCTGAATCTATCTACATGAAAAAGCTTACTATTGTTTTGGTGTTGTAATAAAAATATTTCTATGTTTTTGTGACGTTTATAATGTTAACAAAAGAACATGCCGCATGAAAACAATTGATTTTTATTCTGCGTAGTTTAATCGTTGTGGAGTTTTAACAAAGTTATATTATAGGCTAACAGTCTGTTTCTGAAAGGTTTGTAAATCATTCCAGCGTGCGTTTCAATTCATGTCACGAGTCGAACATCCGCATTGAATATCAGCATCGATGAAAGCGGGTGCTAATGCGGATGCGGGTATTTTAATTCACGCAGATTATCAGCGGATGCTAATATTCCCAACAATCCGGATCCATTTTGAATAGATAAATTTGAGAGGACATAGGTTACTTTTCGTTACAAAAATATCTCAAAGGTGGTGAAATAGGGGATGAAAGTTTGTATGGAGACTCAATCATTTCTCATTCAATCACTTATTTTACGTAGAAGAAATCACGGGCACCAGCTAGTACAAAATGTTATTATTCTTGAAAGTGTATTTCTTAAATTAAGTGTTTTTATTGAATGTCAGGAAGTTTCACAATCATGATGTTCAATATTTTTTTGGGAAATTACTCCACTAGTTTGTTATAAGTATTAATACAAAGATCGAACACTCAGGGTCGCATTCCAGAACTCTACTCAATGCTCAAGTCAGGACTTGAGTATATTTTAAAGCGCTAGAAATCATACTCAAGTCCTTGCCAATAGGGTCATATTTCCCGTGCTTGAAATCATACTCAAGTCCTGACTTGAGCATTGAGTAGAGTTCTGGAATACAACCCTATGAAATAATTCCTTCGATCCGGCCGGATTCGAGCCAACGTCTTCTAGCTAACCGTGTCAGACGCTATGCCAATGAAACCACGGAACAACAAACCAGCGGACCTCACGAATTTTTCTGTGCTTGTTGTTGGATCTTTGTATCTGGGTTTTAACGACTTTTTAGCCGTAGCGCCATCTATGAGAAATCTATATATGTATATGTACTTCATAAATATAATTTCTTCGATAAACAGATACTGTTAAATGGATCTTGGTGCCCTTCACTAAGAAAGCAGGATGATGTAAAATATAAAAATGATATAAGCAAATTGCGTATACCCTACAAACTTCATGCTTGAGTTGAATTGCAGAACATAATATAGACAATATTACATTAAAAATGTGTCGTATCAATCAGTGGATGATAGTAATTTATCTTGCACTCAGAAATTGTGTCTACACTTGTCCAATTCCTCGATACTTCGGAAATATTTTGTTTACAAAGGCCTAATCATAAATTTGACGCAGATATTCGTTGCAGAAATAATTCGCAACAAGTACTATTACATGTATTCATAATATTTTTTATTTAAACAAAGAATTGATCTAAACTATCTGCTACTTAACTTCAACATTGTTTTGTTCCTATTTTATAATGATCCGTAATACTAGTCACGATGCCTAAGTACGACGAACCACCAGACTATTGATTTTATTTATTTATTCTTAATAGGATCACCAACAGCATGTGTATTAAAACATTTACATAAACCTAACTAATCATGAACATATCCTGATATATGCCATGTACAGGTGTACACAACACTCAATGACACCGTAGTGGGTTACTAAGTTAATAAAAACTAAAAGAATACTAATGATACCTACATTAATAATAATAATACAAATGATTAATAATTAAAGACTTTCTGCTAGTTCCAAAATATATTTTATAATGCTGACCTTATACCACGCAAGGGAATCAAGTAATAAATAACTTGAGATCAAGTAAAATGGCATTGAGTTCGTTGTCGAAACCAGACGCTACCAAACTTTTTTGTCTGGCAGACCACGTTACAATTTTTCTGTTTTGCGTAGACCTCCAGCCTTTTTGCATAAATTCATTAATAATAAATAAAATATGTTGTTTTATGCATTTATCTAACCGAATATTTTGTATATTTATTATACACTGTCTCCGTGGCCTAACGGTTACCATGCTGGACTACCTCCCAGGGGTTCCAGGTTCGATTCCCGGGCCAAAGAAATATTCGAATGGCCTACATTTGTTTCTCTCGTGAGTTTGGGTATAATTTGTGGTTGTCTGTGTGTGTCCATGGCACCCGCGACACAGTGTTTCCATAGTGCGGGGCTATGTTGAGTCTGTGCGTTGTATTTAAGAACTTCACAGGTTATTTATATCTATCTATCATAAGAAACTAGTACGTATTTATATCTTATGTTGCCCGTGGTACTACCAGCTGAACTGCAATCACTAATCTGTGTAATGTGGATTATTCTAAAAGCCTGAATACGACCCGCTTGAAGACTCACAGACCCCCTTTTTTCACTGACAATGGTGCAGGTTGGCGTGGATCCACTTTGGGAATGTTCGATCTAGACTAAAACATTTAACACTGTTGAATCTTAATTTAACTGTTAATCTTTGCTTTTGTCATTGATCGTATTGCATCCTATTGGGATAGTTTGCGTTGTTCTGATGACTGATACTGGGAGCTATTTCCGCCGATATGTCTGTCCAATTTCAACATGAAATAGATTAGACGAAGATCTGTGCGGGACATATATGTATATTACTTTATTTTACTCATTTATGTTTTATTTTAGTTTTTTTATGATACTAAGTGATGGGACGGACAAGTCGTGCGCCTGATGGTAAACGACACGCCTGTCCTTGACAGTTGCAGTGCCACTCAGAGCTTTAAATCGCAAAGATCTGAGATGCACTGTCACTGCGCCCGTCACCCAGGTAAGGTGGCAGTATTTCCTTGGACGAATTCTTTCACAAGGAGCTCTTCTGTTACCAAAATAGAAATGGCAGGCAGCAGCTACCTTGTGGTTTGGTTATATGACTCGTTTTAACGAGGACTTTCATATACGCTTCAATCATCGTTGCGCCCGTCACCCTGAGACTTAAGTTGCCTAGTCCCATGTGCCTGTAATATCACCAGCACCTTCAAAACCGGAACGCAGTAATGCTCACATTACTGCTTGGCTGCAGAAATAGATAAGGTGGCAGTACTTCACTGGATGAACTTCTTTTCTCTTTTTTTGTTGTATTATCTCACATTGTATGTGTAAAATCCGATTTTTGTCTGAAAATAAAGAATTATTACTATTAACGTAAACTGTAAACATTATTATAATTAAACATAATATATTAAAAGTATAAAAAATCGATAGCATGGCAGCACGGTGCACTTGCCAGCCTCTATGTACGTAATACTTTAATTCCTGGTGCTATTTTATATCGTCCTTTTATTTTTGAAATTATACCTATGGCATAATAAAGCCACATGTGATCATGTCTCAAAAGTGCTTTTATCACAAAAAGTCATAAAAATAATACGAGCTACATGAAACAAATTATATATTGTAGCAGTAGAGATCTTTGTGAAAGAGTTTGTCCAAGGGAAGTACTGCCACCTTATCTATTTCTGCCGCCAAGCAGTAATGTGAAAAGTATTCAGATCTTTGGGATTTAAAGCTCTGAGTGGCACTGCAACTGTTTAGGAGAGGCGTGTAGCTTACCACCAGGCACATGATTTGTTCGTCTCGTCACTTGATTTTATAATAAACTCAGTACAGAGTGCGAAAAAAACCGACCTCAATGGTCATTCATCGCCTAGTTTGCCACTCTTAGAAGTTTGAGGAATATTTTCTTCAATTTAAATGGAACTGCTGAGGTACCCTCTTTACAACAAAAAAGAATCATCAAAATCGGTTCACAAATGCCGGACCTATCGCGTAACATACATACAAAAAAAGAACAGTCGAATTGGAAATCTCCTCCTTTTTTTCCTTCCGGTTAAATATGTTATTTGTATGTGAAATTTTATAAGCTTATAAAGTTGCCGACCAATTTTGTTCCTAAAATTTTAAATTTGGAAAGTTGTAATTTTGCATGAGATGTGGCCTTATTACACTAAGGGTGCGAAATATACCTAATGTGTTATTTTAACATGTTAAAGATTGCAACTATTTACTAGTGGCTGTTGATTACAAAAGTATTTTAATAACCGAGTACTCTGTTGCGCAGTCTCTCCGATACAATCTGATATATTGTGAGAACGGCCTGACTCACAGTTCTTAAAGTTCTTTTCCTTCGTAAATGTCCGGACAAACTATTGCATTGTACTGTGGGTACCCACTTAACGTAGCCCGTTGATGAGGATAAGAATTTCACAGAAATTGATGAATGAACGCAATCATATTCTATAGTGTACATTTAAATTACAAAAACAACACTGACCAGTAATTTAAGTACCTATAAAAAAATAAGGTGATTGTACACCAGACGACTGCATTATTGGTTAGTAGCCATTTTTACCAAGTAATCTAGGGATAGAAATTTTGGAGATGCAAGGAGGGTGAAATTACATAATAGACGTTTTCTTCTAATTTGAAATAAATATATTACATATAGAATAAAGTAATATAGAATAAATACAATCAATCTGTAGATTTAATACGGATATACTTTTAAAACCGACCGCGGGTTCAGATGCTACAAACCCAACATTAATAGTGCCACTCAAATGTTTAAATTGCAAAGATCTGACTACTCTACTAACATTTACCCTTCAAAACTGGAAAGCGGTAATGCTCACATTACTTGTTTGGCGTCAAAAATTGGCAAGATAAGGAGCTCTATTGCTACTATAACTTAATAGGGTAGCACACTTCTTCATCAAAACAATAACATACAAGCTACAATAATAATTGAAACCTTTTATTATTATTATACTATTTTATATTATGGAATGCTAAGATGTTTGTAACACGACAATATTCAT